ACAGAACCCCTCTGGGCTTCAGCCTTTTCATCTAAAAAATGAGGTTTTAACCTGATGATTGTGTAGTTTTCTTCTAGTTCCAAAGTACTCAAATCCTAGAACTCTAACCTTCGGGAAGAGGGGAGCTAGTTTACTCCTATCTGACAATATCAAGCCATTCCTGATGTAATCACATACTCCATAATACCTCAAAAGAAATCTTTTGGTAATGACTTAATTTATTATTGTGACTTTCTGACAGAACATGGAGACAATTTCAGTTTATTTAGAAGCTACCACTGTGGTGTTGGAGGGATTCCCTGGAGAACTTTGTTCTTCTTACCAGCATTTCCAAAGCCCCTAGTTGAACAAGTGCTTTTGTGATTTCTCATTAAATCAGTTTGAAATTATCTCCTAATCAGAGAAGCCCTATTCTGGTTTCTGGACCTCTAAAGGTGTTTGTAATTTTAGGATAGTAACGAAGGAACAAGAGGTTGATGCCCCACAGTGGGCTCTGGGCCCTAATCAGGGCCTGACTGCAAATCTTGGTGGTGCTGATTAGTGCTGCCTGGGTGCCTTCATTCCTCCAGGGAGCACCATGGTAGAAAATTAGCTGAGTCACAGAGAGTGCAAGCAGGATGCAGGGAAGCCCTTCCTTCTCCCCCACCCTCAACTGCGATAAAGAGGTACTTTCATGGGGCGCCTGGGTGGCGCAGTCGGTTAAGCCTCCGACTTCAGCCAGGTCACGATCTCGCGGTCCGTGAGTTCGAGCCCCGCGTCGGGCTCTGGGCTGATGGCTCAGAGCCTGGAGCCTGTTTCCGATTCTGTGTCCCCTCTCTCTCTGCCCCTCCCCCGTTCATGCTCTCTCTCTGTCCCAAAAATAAATAAATGTTGAAAAAAAAAAATTAAAAAAAAAAAAGAGGTACTTTCACATCACCCACGTGAGCTTTAAGGTTCTAGAACTGCTCAGGCTTTTGGGTTTTAAGGACTTAGAAAATAAAGATTTATTTAAAAGATATTTTTGAATCAAGAAAAACATTCTGGATTCTAGGCCTACCCTATATTTATGGTATAGGTGGCACTGCAATATAAATAGGGATTCCAGCTTGTTCCCCAGCTACTATCCCAGGTTGTCTGTCATTCCTGCCCCCCACCCCTCACCCCCACCCCCGCCAGTCCTGGGGTAAGGGTTGGGGAGGGGTCTATACCAGTCCTGCTAGCAGCAAGCTCAGGTATATGGGTACCCAGTGAGTTTTGGGGACCAAGGTAGCTGAAGGGTGGTCAAGAAGTGGATTGGGTACCTGCAGGCTCTGGATAAGCATCCTCACCTCATGGAGAGAGAGATGTTCCTGAAGGAGAGCCAGAGTATTGCCCTCTAAAGTACAGGACCCAGGAAAGGGATGCTAGTTGTTGAAGTCTAAAGATAGCACTCCTGGATTCTACTCTAGCCCAAATAAACCAAGGTCTTTAAGCCTCTTTAAAGGCACCAAATACCAAAAAGGCTGTTAAGGTTTCCTGTACATTCACACATACCGTAAGTATGCACTGAACTGAGGAGGAGTTGGGCATCTCCCACACAGCACTGTTCACTGGTGCCATTCCCTATTTACCAAAGCAGGTGGAGACAGCTCCTTTGAATTATCACTTGTCTGGAGAATTCAGCAAACCTGGGGCTACATAGCTGAACACATCTGGAGAAGCTCATTAGTTGATTCCTAAAAACCATCTTCATTCACAGAATGGGAAGTCTTAAATAAGTCTACTAGAGTGATAGGGCAAACTTTCCCTAAAGAAGCAGGGCCTCAGGAATTCTCTGGCCAACATTTCAACCCAGCAGGTGGAATAGATCGCGAAGAGTGTATAGGAACTTCTGCACTGCACGTGAATGATTTATGTCACTGACATGCTTGGTCCCAAGAGTCTGCCCCTCTTGACACTAAATGCAACACACAGTTTCCATTTAGTGGAAGGGTTTTCAAGAAGCCGGAATTTCTGTCCTGATTTCTTGTGCTTAGGTCATTTTTTAAAATCTCATCTGTCATGTTCTGTGATGTTAGTCCTACTAGAACAGGCCCATTCTAGGGCTTGTATACAAATGGTGCATTTTTTTTCTCAAAGTCTAAACAGGTGGATTCTGGAAAGCTGCCCCATTCTTAAGGTGCTTCAGGCTGATAAAGCTTCTGGAGGAAAAGCTTGCAAGTAAAGGGCTTTTTGGGAATTCCGTGAGGTTTTGACTTCCATCCTCCGGGTGCTGCACCAAAGCCAAGCCTAAAAACATGTCTGTTTCCTGTGGGCGGACGAGGAAAGCTTTCTTAAGCCCAAGCAAGCACAAAGATGGGTGTTCTGAGTGTTGGGAGAACCAGCTCCAGGCTGCAGTGATTATAAGTCGCTTGTTTTCAGCTTTTCAAGGCCTGAGGAAGCTTTCCTGGCACAGCAGACCTAAACAATGTTAGCTGCTTCAGCAGCTTCCTGGTTACAGGCTACCAGGGTGGTGATGCAGAACACCTATGGTCCTGCACAGAGAAGGGGGCAGGAAACTGAGGCTGCATCTCCAACAGGCTCCCTTGTCTTACTGTTATGAAACTGGCATGTAGCGGTCTTCCCTGGACCCATGATAGTTAAAAAAAAAAAAAAAAAAAACTATGTATGAGGCAGACTAAAGACATGGGTTTTAATTAGATTTTTTTTCAGATGGCTGAGGGTGGAAATCTTTTAAAAATGTTAATAGAAGACAGGTATCTCATATCCTACCTGCCCTGCTACCCGTTCCACTTTTAGGCCACCAGAAGTCCATGTGAAATTATGCCTGGAGCAAAGGCATACACTGCCAGGTCTGGAAAGACTTAGTTCCCTTCTCTTACCGACGCAAAATTCCTAATCTTTCAGGTGGATATGCCTAAGTAATTCCTAAGGCCAGTGAAATGTCAGTTAGTCAGAGGTACATCTGCAACTAACCTTGTAAGTTAATTGTATTTCAATTAAAAAAAAAATAAGGTAGAAAGGAAAGGAAGGCAAAAATGAAACTAAGTAAAATAGAGGGAAAGAATACAAACTGTGTGCCTTGGTGTGGAAATTAAATTTGAACAAGAATACTGGAGCTCAGGGCACCTGGCTGGCTTAGTCAGAAGAGCATGCGACTCTTGATCTTAGGGTTGTGACTTTGGGTGTAGAGATTCCTTAAAAATAAAATCTTTAAGAAAAAAGAAAAGAGAAAGAATGGTGGAGCTCATGACTTGGAGCTAGGCTATAACCCAGAGGGTTATAAAGACAAACCCGTCTCTACCTGTAGTTAGTACGTAAGACACATCAATACAACAAGTTCAGCTATAATACGTACTCTATCTGACTCACTTTAATTTTCTGAACTTCTAGACCAGTTAGACTCTTTCTTCCTGTTCTAGGTGTAAGGTAACTCAGCTCACTTAGAGTCATGGCAACATCAAATACTAAGGCCGAGAGGGAATTAAAGCTCTTCTAGCCTAATTCTCTTATTTTGAAATAAAGGGGTTATGTGTCTTGTCCAACACATATAGTTTGGTGGCAGGTTTGAAAGCAGAACTTGGGTTTCTGTACTCCTAATGAAGTGTCTTAACAGCTTTGGCCATCTTTCTGATGATTTTTTAAATCAAAAGGAATTTTTATTATTCCCCTGTACAAGAGGAAGAGATTTATTGTGAGTTGCTTTAAAGGGCTTAGTTAAAATGGAATGTAACATGCTGAATAAAAATAACACCTTAATACACGGCCTGGTCTTGGGTGTCCTAGGTCAAAGGGAGCATAGATTTAGGTCACTCACCACTAGAGGGCACTCAGATTTTCTCAGTCAATTTAAAGAGGCTCCCAGATACAGCCTCCAATTTGTCATCAACATGATGACATTTTCTATCAACAGTAAACGCTAAATGGCCATTTCCCCCAAATATACCAGTCTAATGGATATGTGTGTGGTATAGATATATATATCTATATCTATGTAGATATAGATATAGATATATAAACATGTTATAATTAATATATATTTATTTTAATGTTACTATTCTAGATTTAAGCCTGATGTTTTCCCAGTGGATTCTTTCATTTATTGTTTTCAAATGGTATGCAGATTTTTGTAGTAAAAATTAACTTAAAATGTCCACTTGCTTCTCAGAGTACTTACAAAGCCCAGGGGGCCCTGCTGAAATCCACAGGTCTGCAGTATTTGAAGCAAATAATATTTATTTGAGGAGGCCCTGGCATACTTTGATTTAAAAGGGAGAAGAAAGTGAAGAAAAGGAGAGCTTTCTCTGCTATAAAAGTAAATGGATACAAGTCAGGCAATTTCTTTAACCCTCCATTTTATCATCCTTGAAGGCCTTATTCTGATCACATGGGGGATTTCTGGAGATTTATACCTGGAGCCATGAAAATCCATTCTCTCTAGGAGGACCAAGCACTTTCTGGCTGTGTTAGATTCTGGAAAGGTCTATTCTATATGCTTAAAAGAAGTTACACTATTATATATCAGTTATTATCAACTACTACCATAGTATTGCCATGTCTGAAAAATAGAAAAATCATAACAAAAATTATCTTTGTAAAAAAGGGCAGGGTTGTTTCTGCAAAGCTGCTACATACCTCTGACTACCTTGTTGGTTGTTGATGATCGGCATACTGGATTCTGCTGAATTGTTTTCCTGACCCAGGGCACTTACCTGATCAGGACTAGCCTGTGCTTTGCCAAGTACTGAGGAAAACCTGGCTCATGGCTTTGAAAAAGGATACATCTAATTCACTCTGGAAAAGAGAAAAGAGTACAAGGATGAGAATGAGCCCCTGGGACACGTGCGCTTAGCAGTTAGCAGCTGCCCTGGCCACAAGCCGGGGAGCAGGTGGGGGACGCAGCTCTGTACATAGAAGCGCGAGAGCAGGAAGGCTCGGAGTCTGGGCTTGTGCTTTCTTTATGAAGAAAAACAGGCTGCAGTTTAGAGGAATTTTGCCAACCAGAACAATTCATCTTTGAAAGGTAGAGGGACTAGACTAACTCAACCTGTTCAGATGACGCGTAGCTAATTTGATATGTGTATCAAAAGCCTTAATAATATGCATACCCTTTGAATCCATCAGTTTTATTTCTAGAAGTTTATCCTAAGGAGATAATTAGATAACAGCATAACAATGTGTGATCGGATGTTCAGGGTAATGTTGTTTATAGTAGCAAATTATTGAAAACAAGCTAAGTATCTATCAAGGGGGGACTAGTTAAATAAATTATAGCAGATCCACAAATGAGGATACAGATATATAAGTACTGACATTGCTAAATAAAAGCAAGTTACAACACGGTATATTCAGTATTATCCCATGGATATATGTATATGTAAAGATAGATACAGATATAGTTGGATATAGACAGATACATAAAGTCTAAAAGGAAATGTACCTAATAGTATCTATCAGTAGTTCATGAACTTACTCATGGTCTTCTCCCCTTTCTTTTTGCTTATATGTATTTTTAATTTTTTTTAGTGATCATAGATGTTTATATCATAAAAAAGTTGGGGTGCTTGGGTGGCTCAGTTGGTCAAGCATCCAAATTCCACTCAGGTGGTGATCTCACGGTTTGGGAGTTCGAGCCCTGTGTTGGGCTCTCTCTTCAGATCTTCTCTCTCTCTCTCTCTCTCTCTCTGTCCCTCCCCTGCTCATGCTCTCTCTCTCAAAAGTAAATAAACATTTAAAATAAAAGTCATAGAGGAAGAAAAAAGTAAACAGAGTTAAATTTGTATCTGGAAGGACTTCGGGTTTGTCAAGTGAAGGACTGAAAATGCTGAGCCCACCTCAACAGCCACTGTCCTCTCTTGCAAAACTGCCTCCGTTGAAGCTAACTGGGTTGGCTTTTTGTTTTGAAACGTGATGCTGAGATGCTTCCTTCAGCCCAGACAGCATGAGAGTGATCTCCAAATTTAAGATTTGGAAACTAAGATTAAAAATAGCCTCAGAAAGAATGTTTAAAACTCACAAACCTAAAAATAAATCTTAGATGACAAGGCATTCTTTGAGTGGGACAGATTCTATTTTCTTTCCCATAGTATTCTTTTCCCTCCGCTTTTCTCTCCTTTCTGCTACTGTCATCCTAAACTGAGTCATCTCCCAGTACTGTCCGAGTCCTGTGTAATCACCAGTTTACATTAAATTCTAATCTTCACTTCTGTGGTTTATGTGGTCACTGACTCTCTTCCCAGAATTACAGCAAGAATTCAGCAATGTGCTATTTATTCTCAGTCACTGAATATAATAATAATAATAATTTCAAAAACCTTAGCAATGATAGCCCTTGTACTCACTCTTATCATCCCAGGTTTAAAACATTACTTTTTTGGGAAATGTTATTCTTCTTGATAGGTGTTGCCTTAAAATGGCTGAACATGGCCAGCTCTGAATCACAGACCCTGACTTGCAAACCAGTCTGTCTTAAGAGAGTGGGAGTCAGGGGGGCCTGGGTGGCTCAGTCCGTTAAGTGTCTCCTGATTTTGGCTCAGGTCATGATCTCACTATTTGTGAGTTCAAGCCCTGTGTTGAGCCCAGCTTCAGGCTCTGCACTGATGGTGTGGAGCCTGCTTGGTATCCTCTGTCTGCCTCTCTCTCTGCCTCTCTCTCTCTCTCTCTCTCTCTCTATCTATCTCTCAAAAATAAATAAGTAAGTAAGACAGTGTTGTCAGGATTAAGCAGGAGCTAGAGCTGTGCTGTCTACTATGGTAACCACTAGCATCATTGTGGTAAATTAAATGAATTAAAATTAAATTCCTCACTTCCTCCTTTACAGTAATCACATTTCAAGTTTTGAAAAGCCATACATGGCTAGTGCCTACTGTACTGGATAACACACGCATGGAACAATTCTATTGCTGCAGAAAGTTATATTGGTCAGTGCTGATTTATGGCATCCTCTCCAAGCAGTCAATACGAACATGGAGTTTAAAGCCAGCCTCAGTGGCCCCTGTCTCCTCAAGGCCAGTCTGGAAAGGCCTGACTCCTTGCCATCTTCCAGCTTCAGCACTACTTCCTTCCTAACTAGATGCACTGCCATCCTGCAGGCCACGAGGCAATTCCAAGATCCAACCCCTGAATGAGGAAGTGGCTGACAGTAAGCCTCATGCATTAAGTTAGTGGGTCTCAAATTTAAATATGCATCAGAATCATACAGAAGGCTTGTTAAAACACAGATTGCTGAACCTCAACCCAGAATTCCTGATTCAACACTTTGAGGTGGGCCCACAATTTGTATTTTTAGTAAGTTCCCAGGTGATGTTTATGTCGCTGGGAACACCACTTTGAAAACCACTGCACTAAGGCAATGAAGACAGGCTAGTTGATTGTCCCATGCAGAAGGAATTTGCCAAACAATTCTGGTATTAGGAGTTAGGCTGAAGATATAACTTCTTAACATGAGTTTTGCCCTTAGCAGGCTTTAGTGAACTCAATATTACTTATTATGGAGATTTCACTCACTGCCTCAGGAAGAAGCAGCCTAGAAACAGTTTCTTCCAAATCCTTTTATTTAAAAGCAAAATGAAAGAAGGGTGCCAGGGTGGCTCAGTCGGTTAAGCATCTGACTTGGGCTCAGGTCATGATATCATGGTTTGTGAGTTCGAGCCCCACATTGAGCTCTGTGCTTCCAGCTCAGAGCCTGGAGCCTGCTTTGGATTCTGTGTCTCCCTCTCTATCTGTGCTCCTCCCCTGCTCATGCTCATGCTCTGTCTCTCTCTCTCAAAAATAAATAAACATTAAAAAAAATTTTTAAAGCAAAATGAAAGAAACATAACAACTTTGAAAACTCAGCTTGTGCCACTACTACCTCTCAAGAATATCTAACTAAGGCTCAGGAAGGCCTATGGGAGCAGAGTAAAACACCTTCACTGATTCTTTATTTTTTTTTAACATGTGCTCTTTGGTTAAAAATGTTTATCAGGGCGCCTGGGTGGCTCAGTCGGTTAAGCATCCGACTTCGGCTCAGGTCATGATCTCGCGGTCTGTGAGTTCAAGCTCCGCGTCGGGCTCTGTGCTGACAGCTCAGAGCCTGGAGCCTGCTTCGGATTCTGTGTCTCCCTCTCTCTCTGACCCTCCCCCATTCATGCTCTGTCTTTCTCTGTCTCAAAAATAAATAAACATTAAAAAAAATTTAAGAAAATGTTTATTTATTTTGAGAGAGAGAGAGAGAGAGAGAGAGAGAATATGAGCAGGGGAGGGGCAGAGAGAGAGAGGGAGAGAGAGAATCCCAAGCAGGCTCCACACTGTCAGCACAGAGCCCAACTCAGGCCTTGATCTCAGGAACCATGAGATCATGACCTTAGCTGAAATCAAACTAAGATGCTCAAAAGACTGAGCCACCCAAGTGCCTCAGTAATTCCTTACACTTGTGGTCAACTGATTTTTAACAAGGGTGCAAGACAATTCACTAAGAGGGTGGTGGAGAACAGTCTTTTCAACCAATGGTGTTGGGAAAATTGGATAGCCACATACAAAAGAATGAAGTTAGACCCCACTTCATAGCATATACAAAAATTACTCAAGCTTTTCCAATCTGCCATCTGGAACCACCACCAGGATGCAGATTTTCGTGAAAACCCTTATGGAGAAGATCATCACTCTTGAGGCTGAACCCTCAAATACAACAGAAAATGTGAAGGCCAAGATTCAGGATAAGGAAGGAATTCCTGGTCATTAGAGACTGATCTTTGCTGGAAGCAACCAGAAGATGGATATACTCTGACTACAACTACAAAAGGAGCCCACTCTTCATCTTGTGTTGAGACTTTGTGTGGTGCTAAGAAAAGGAAGAAGTCTAAACACCACTTCCAAGAAGAATAAGCATAAGAGAAAGAAGGTTAAACTGGCCATCCTGAAATACTGTAAGTTGGATGAGAATGTCAAAATCAGTCCCTTTGTCAGGAGTGCTCTTCAGATGAATGGTGCTAGCCACTTTGACAGACATTATGGTGGCAAATGTTGCCTGACTTATTGCTTCAACAAACCTGAAGACAAGAAATTGTGTATGGGTTAATAAAAGACACAGGAGTACATCTTCATGACATTAGGGAACTGTGAGATCATGACCTGAGGTGAAATCAAGAGTCAGACACTGAACCAACTGAGCCACCCAGGTGCTCCAAAGCCTTTTTAGACATAACACCAAAAACATAAGCAACAAAAGAAAAATTAATTGAACTTCATCAAAATTAAAAATTATTGTAATTCAAAGAACACTATCAAGAAAGTGAAAAGAAAGCCAGTGAAGGGGAGAAAATATTTTTAAATTATATCTGATAGGTACTCAAGTTAGTTCAATCAAATAGACTTGTTTTTGTATTCAATCAATTCACTCAAAGAGATTTGTATTCTGAATATAGAAAGAACTCTTACAACTCAACAATAAAAAGACAAATAGTGCAAGTGAAAAATGGGCAAAGGATTTGAAGACTTTTTCTCCAAAGAAGATATACAAATGGCCAATAAACACATGAAAAGCTCCTCAATGTTTGTTGTCCAGTAGTCAAATGCAAATCAAAACCACCATTGATTGGCCTCTATACCACTTCATACCCACTAGGATGGCTATAATCAAAAAGATAATAACAAACTTTGGTAAGAACATGGAGAAATTAGAACCCTCAACCACTGTTAAAGAGAATTTAAATCATGCGGCCACTTTGGAAAACAGTTTGGCAGTGCGTCAAAATGTTAAACATGGAATTATCACATCACCTAGCAATCCCACTCCTAGGTAGACTAAAACTATGATGCCACACAAAAATATTTACACAAATGTTCAAAGCTGCATTATTCATAAGAGCCAAAAAGTATCAATAACCCACATATACATCAACTAATGAATAAATAAATAATATGTGGTATATCCATATAGCAGAATATTAATTGGCAATAAAAAGGAAAGAAGTACTGATACCTGCTACAACATGGATGAATCTTGAAAACATTATGTTAAGTAAAAAAAGCCAGTCACAAAAGACTACATATTATACAATTCCATTTACATGAAACGTCTAGAACAGGCAAACCTATAGAGATAGAAAGTAGACCTGGAGCAGGTGGAGGGGGATCACTGGGAAGGAAATGCTAATAGGTATGGTGTTTATTTGGGGTTAGGAAATATTCTAAAATTGACTGTGTGGTGGTTGCACAACTCGTGTAAATACTAAAACCTATAAACTTTATTTTACTTAATTTATTTTTTAAGATTTTATTTCTAAGTAATGTCTACACCCAACGTGGGGCTCAAACTCAAAACCTCGAGATCAAGAGTCACACGCTCTACCTACTGAGCCAGCCAGGTGCCCAAAAAGGCCTGCATGCTTTAAATGGGTGAGTTTTGGGGTATGTAAATTATATTTCAATACAGCTGGGGTTTTGTTTTGTTTTCATTTCATTTTTTTAAAAAGGGGTTTTGGGGAAGGAACTCATGTGTTCCTTAAGGGGAGTTGGTTTTGACCATCAAAGCAAGGGTTTGGATAGAAATGATTCCTAAACTAAAAAGGGTCCTGGTGCCTTAGGAGGGAAAGCAAAATAAAAAAAGAGAGAGGGAGAATAAATTAAATAGCAAAGTCTCTTAATTAAAAGAAAGACATAAGAGGTTCTCAGTCTTGCAGAACTAAGTCTTTATAAAGATCTAAGGCACACATAGGTTTGTAACACTTTGATGAGCCAGAAGGAAAGGTAAAGAAAATGTGGCCTCATTTGAGTTTTAACTTTTGCACATTGAAGTTCTATATTAACATGTGTTCTTGATATAGACCTATTTCTGGGAAGTTGGGCTGAAGACAAAAACCATTTTTTTAGTTTTTAGACTTACCACGCGGCTGAAGTATTCATCTAAAACTTCCACAAAGTTATGGATGAATTCATAAATTGCCATCTCATTCTAAAATAAAAAAGGAAGGGTACAATTAGGTTTAGTATAGCTCATGTGGAAATTGGACACTGACAAATATTCAGAATGGTTCTATGACTCACTTATTGGAAAGACGCTTATCGGTAGGGGAAATGTCAAAAATCTTAACCTCTAAGATTTTAAGTTCATAATGAGTTTAGCTGGACTGAAACCAGGCCGAGTCTAGTGTTTAGGGTTTTGAGCACTACTCCCTGACCTCGTCATCAAGCGGCTGAAGCAGTTTTTTAGGATCTTCATGCCACTACTTTTCTGTTTGTGAAGATGGGGAAACTACCTCAAGGTTTGGTTCACACATAAAAAAATAATCAACTTGAGATTTCCAAGTATTTTAGATCTTAAACAGTTTTTCAAGGATTCAATAGCCACAGGTACTGTTGATCTGGGACTGACATTTCTGGAAAGGTGAACTAAATCGGAGGAAATTCAATCACAACACAACCATATTTATCATTTGCTCTGGCTTCTTGTATATGAGCCTATATTTAACGCTACAACTGACTGGCCTGTACACATGTCTAAGCTGCCCCAGTGTGCCACAAAGAACACGGTAAGACATTGGTATTGCTTAGGGTTGAGGAAGGCATTCTGTGGTTTTGTGCTTCCCCACAAGCTACTCATCTAATCCAAGAAAAATCCCAGGTATTTCTTTTCCGCACAGCTTTCCCTAACCTTGACAGAAACCAAGATCCTTCAAGAGTCAAGATAATTCTTAGGTAGGCAAGTAGGGAGGAATATATCAATTTACGGAGGAATAAAAATCAGACTATTATTCTTAGTTTTCTTGCATTTTCCATAGGCTCCTCTCTTATCTTACCTCAGTGTCATTAACTCCAACCACAATGAAGAGAGCTGCATACTGTCGATAAATCAGCTTAAAATCCTTGAATTCAATGAAAGAGCACTAGAAAAAACACAATTAGATATTAATTGCTATAGTTGACAAGTATTTTTAATTTTTTAAATGTTTATTCATTTTTGAGAGACAGAGTCAGAGCATGAGCAGGGGAGGGGCAGAGAGAGAGGGAGACACAGAATCCGAAGCAGGCTCCAGGCTCTGAGCTGTCAGCACAGAGCCTGACTCAGGACTTGAACCCACAAACCGCGAGATCATGACCTGAGCTGAAGTCGGACGCTCAAATGACTGAGCCATCCAGGTGCCCTGACAACAAGTATTTCTTCAAAATGGCATGCATAATTTCTAGGTTCTGATTTCAGTATTGGGTCAACACATTCCTAGAAATCTACAATTTAAAAATGTTAAACAATCTTTGTTGGTTGCCTCTTCACAATATTCAGGGGACTATGGAAGCATCTCTAGCGGGAGGCAGAGAAGGGGTCTAGAAAAAAAGGCTCTGAGCATCGACATGGGTTCCCCCTGAACTCCTTCTCATTCCTTTGCTTTGCTCTGTGTGGAAGTCAGCAGGCAAAGGTACCAGACTGCCCCCAACATGAAAATAAGCCAACATGACAAAGATTTTCTTCTTTCCATTTCCGCTAGGCTCTTTTGGAAGCAGAGATTTAGTTTTGTCCTATTTAATAGCCAGTGAACAGCCAAATATATGCGGCATACATACATGTATGTATCAAGAAAAATCTTGATTTCTTTTTTCTAGACCCATGAAAAGAATCAATGTAGACTCTTTTATAAATTATTTAAAATCTTGGCTTTTGTGGGGCAGATGATAGTCAAAATCTCCCATTGTAAACATTGCTTCCTAGGAGTTAATAACTAGTTTACCACCACTGACTTGTGGATAAAACAACTCCCTCCCCATTCATCTCTCTCCTACATCCATTGTACAAAGGGTACACTGGGTAGATAGAAATTGGACAGCAGGCTAACAGCACATTGTTGCCCTTTCTTTGGACTGTTGGGTGGTTGACCAAATGTGATTGAACATGAACTGTATGGCTTTTTGCACTGGCATAATCGCTTTTGGTGCCCGAATTGCTCTTGGTGTACCTGGAGATGAAGTGGTAAGTTTTAATTGTGAAATTTCTTCCATAGGAAAGTCATTTGAGAATCTAAAATGGAGGCATTTGAGGCTCTTATTTAAAATTAGGATAGGGGCACCTGGGTGGCCCAGTCAGTTGAGCATCTGACTTTTGAATTCAGCTCAGGTCATGATCCGAGGGTTGTGGGATCAAGCCCCATGTCGGGCTGTGCGCTGAACATGGAGCCTGCTTGAGATTCTCTCTCTCTCTCTCTCTCTCTCTCTCTCTCTCTCTGTCCCTCCCCCTTTCTCTTTCTCTCTCAAATTAAAAAAAAAGAAATAAAATTATGATAAAAGAAGTACAGGACCGTTCTGCAGCTTTTGTTCACTGTAGAGCCAGTGTGATTTCTGCTCAGTTGGATCTTTCAAGGAAATACATCCTTGTTGAAAGAACTAAAGAACATTTTTCAAAGCCTCTCAGGAGTTTCTGACATACAACAACAACAACAACAACAAAAAGACAAAACAACAGCAACAACAACAAAACAACGAAGTACCTTTGTGGATAACATAAAAACTAAGCTGAGATTGTGTTACTTCAGTGCCTAATTATCCCAAAGCCCAGGGAGTTCCTTTTAAAATCTAAAATAATTTAGAATGCTTCAAAATTATGTAACAGTATATTCATTCCAAAGCATGTATTTCCAAGGGTAACCTATCAGTGAAAATAGTGCCTGAAATTGTGCAGCGCCTGCATTCTGCAGAAAGATTCAACAGGAATGCTTCCGGAGTTTGTTTATGTTTACTTAAAGTATGTGGCTATTAACACGGCCCTTTAATAGTTTCTGTTCCCTTTAGACAACTAAATGAGACGGTGTGTGCCATGGCAGGCCAAAGTGGTAATTCAAAGAGGACTCTGAGATGTTGAGACTGGAAAATCAATTTAGAAGCCAAGGGAAACACAGTTCCAACATGTAACTTCTGAGCACAGATGGACCTTAATATTTTAAGACTTAGCAGGGGTTCCCACAGGCAGCCTTTCTACATATGCTGTGAAATGGAAAAGTGGCAAAATTAATGGGCGATTTAAACAAGCTTTCTGATTTTGCTGCACTTTGTTCAGTGATTTTCAGTGGACTCAAAGTTTAGGACCTGGATTCAGTAATTATCCAATTAAACTTCTTTGTAAAAATGAACTCAGTTTTTAAAATTCCTATTCGTTATTATTTTAATGATTTTATTTAACCTCAATTTTGACAGAATGGATAGATTTACTATTTTCTATTAATTTTTAACTTCCACTTACTCCATCTACATCATAACACAAGTTCCAATCAAATTTGTTGTTTTTTTATTTTATTTTTTAAAGTTTGTTTATTTATTTATTTATTTATTTATTTATTTATTTATTTATTTATTTTGAGAGAGAGAGAGGAGACAGAGTGCGAGTAGGGGAGGGGCAGAGAGAATGGGAGACACAGAATCCGAAGGAGGCTCCAGGCTTTGAGCTGTCAGCACAGAGCCTGACGAGGGGCTTAATCCATGAACCGTGAGATCATGACCTGAACTGAAATCAGACACTTAACCAACTGAGCCACCCAGGCACCCCAAATTTGTTTTGTTTTTAAGTCACTAGTTCTCGTATTACATTGGTGTTAAGTTTATAAAAACGATAAGCAGAAAAAAAATTACACTTCACGTGAGGATCATATTGTCATCCTCTGGCACCAAGTCTGTCTCGAGTGCTCACCTCTATACCAATCATCTGACCTTCATCCCTTGGCTTAAAGAAAGCCACCTGCTAGAGGCACTCCTGAGAGTTGTAAGGGCTAAATTCATATGAACAAAAAAAAGAAGATATGTCTATTAGCTGGAATAAATTTGAGCTGCCACTTCCACAGTGCATTGAGACAAATATACTGGCCTAAATAAGAACTCAAGATGTTTCCTGGTTCTCCTTGTTTGTATTTTCCTTAAGGGGATATAAAGAGAGCTATGCTTCAATCTTCATGTCACTTCATTTGTTATTTTCCCTAATAGCTATGGAAAGAATGTAGTTCAAAGAAAACGATGGCCCTCGAGACTCAGTAATAACAGACCTGCCGTTGACAAGTTGAATACAGAGATAAAAGAGAGAATCAGAAACTTACTTGCTCATTGGATCGGGAGAGACAGCTCCTTATGACTTCCGTTTCCAGAAGTGTACGCTTATTAATCTCCACATGTTCATAGTATTTAGAAAGTCGGGTCTGCCCTTGTTTATTTACCATGAGGAAAAATTTTATCATTTTTCCTGGCCAGTATTTTTCCGGATAGTTCAAAAGTTATGTCAAGGGGTATCTGAAACTAGAACCTGAGGGATGAAAGAACAACGAAAAGGTGAGATCAGTCCTCAAAGAATAGTATTAAATGTGTTCTACATATGAAGCAGAAGTAAATAAAATGTGATCTGATAATACTGATCTTTACTTCTATTAATTAAATGAGGTTTTAATACGTAACATACATTTTCATTAGCTATCTTCCAAAACATAATTTTGAGTCTCCACAGTCGTCCTACTCCTATTTGTTCATTTGATTCATCATTTTTTTTTTTTTTTTGGCGCCAACTATGTGTCAAGTACTAAGAGATTACAAAGAGGAAGAAGCAGTGATTTTTTTTTGCAATGTTTAGAACATTTTTAAAATTTTTTAAACATGTTTATTTACTTTTGAGAGAGAGAGACAGGGCACAAGCAGAAGAGGGGCAGAGAGAGAGGGAATAGAACATTTTATTAAAGTACAAAACTGCTGGCATTAAGTGAAATAGAAAAACAGTAAATATTTACAGAAACATTGATCACACCACTCAAGTCATACACACGTAAAAATGCAGAAAGGTCTTAAAAAGTTCAGAAGTTGAAAATTATGGAGATTTCCCAAAATGGATAGAACTGCTCCCTGCTGAGTATGGCACTGATATAAGACCTGAGTGAATGCCATCCCCTACTTTCTGTATTCCAGTACTGCCTGGAAATGTGTTTCTTGGGAGATTCAGACTTGGAGCCATCCTGAGAGGACAAGTTAAGAGTTGACATAGGTCTAACTTGTGGTCTGATTTTCTTCATCCTACCGACTGTGTTGAGGTTATAAGGACACAGCCAGGCTATTTTTCTTCAGCTTCTGCTAATATTCAAAAGGATATGAAGAATATAAGCAATTTCTCATTGCTTGAGCAAAAATTCAGCACATGAAAGGCAGAGTGGAGGGTACTTGTACTAGAACTATAAAGTTCTGTCTGATGGAAAATTAAGAAGTAGTGATTTCTGATCTTCTGATCTTTACCCCTAGCAAAGGTCCCAGGTAGGTAAACAAGTAATAGCAGTACAAGGAGATGAGTTGTGATGGGGACAGGTATACTTCTATGGTACACAGAAGGGAGGGATAGGGAACATTATGGGAGAGTTGGAAATGGCTTCCCAGGGAAGGGGCATTTAAGCAAGATCTTGAAGAATGAGGGACTGTGGGGCAGAGAAAACAGGGGTAGCTTTGTAAAGTTCACTGCAGATGTAGTTCAGGGGGCAAGCATAATAGTTGCAGGAAATTGAGCTGCTCGCATAAAATAAAGTTGGCTTTAGAAGTCACACTAAGGAATGTGAACTTTATTTTATGGACAGTGGAGACAAGATCTAGAGTGAACTTTTCTTTCCTCAGTGTTGGAAGCCATAGTAGTAATCTCCATTCTTTGCCAAAGTCCCCCCATAAGGCCTCTAACAAGTCCTATGTAAGGTCCTACATCAAGCAATTTACATATTTTCTTTATTCTCACAATTATCTGAGTCAGGTACTTGTGTTATCCCCATTCTAAGGCCAAGCAAATTGAAGTTTAGGGATGTTAAACACCCATAGTCTCTATATTACTTTGGGTCAGAAATGAGGTGCAGCTCAGAGGTCAAGCTCATGCACAGATCCCTGACACCTGCTAACTTGTCCTTATCACTCAAGGGTCCATGCTTGCAGTTTTATTTCTAACTCAGGTGTATTGAATCTCGTGCTTGTTCTTCCTATACTTATTCTGTATTTTGAAATGATCAGTGCAAAAGAGCACAATATTGACAATGACTAGTGCTCCTTTCTCTTCTTTTCTTCCCTCCCTCCCTCCCTCTCTCTCTTTCTTTCTTGTTTTAATGTTTATTTATTTTCAAGAGAGAGACCAGAGCGCAAGCAGGGGAGGAGCAGAGAAAGAGGGAGACAGAGAATCCAAGGCAGGCTCCAGGCTCTAAGCTGTCAGCACAGAGCCTGACGCTGGGTTTGAACCCACAAACTGTGAGATCATGACCTGAGCCAAAGTCGGACGCTCAGCCAACTGGCCAGTGCTTCTTTCATTATGAGTATCAGAACTACCTCACTGACTCACCTGCCAGTATCATATTCACATTTTGGAATATCCTTGAAAATACAGTGCAAAAGACCAAGGTTAATAATAGTTCTTAAATGAACTTGTAAAGTTTGGAATAATTCTACAGAGAAAGTTGCAACAGATTATGGGATAATTCTTAGACTAAGTTTTGTGTTATTTTTTGCCCTCCCAGTTCATCTCATTTCCTGAACCCTATCAGACAGGTGGTTATCTCACAACAATTCCAAACATTAAGAGCTAGAAAGAGCCAGGCCCAGTCTGGCAAAGCCTGGGCTACTGTGTTCATTCAGGGTGCAGAACAGGATGTTATCTAGACCCAGCTGGGGACATGGCAGCTGTGCCAGTGGGGGGGAAGGGCTGTGGTCATTCACTCCCTTTTCCAGGAAGATAGGCTCACTACTGTAGGTGGGATTGCAACATACTCTGTTTAGTCATTTGGTATTAAGGGCTGCTTTTCTTCTCACAAATTACTGCCAGTAAATTATGGCCAGCAACTAGTAAATTAAGTTATCACCCATTCTTTTAGTCCCTTTTAGCAAAGTTAGCAAAGTTTAAAACAATCTTCAGGGCATCTGGGTGGCTCTGCCGGTTAAGCGTCCAACTTCGGCTCAGGTCATGATCTCACAGTTTGTGGGTTCAAACCCTGCATCGGGCTCTGTGCTGACAGCTCAGGGCTTGGAGCCTGCTTTGGATTCTGTGTCTTTCTCTCTGCCCCTTCCCAGCTCACGCTCTGTCTATCTCAAAAATAAAGAAACATTAAAAAAATTTAAAACAATCTTCACAAAAGTTAGAAATTACAGTCCTAGACTCTGGATTCCAGCTGCCAGGTAGAAGAAAATAAAATATTGTCACAAAGGTACTCATGGCCAAACCTTTGCCTCTAAATGTCTTGGTTGCATTAAGTGGTAAAATGAGATGTAAAATGATCACATTGAGATGATACACCAACAGATCAACTTGGTTTCTACCTTAACAAGCACAGCATTCCTTCCCACTGACTTCAAGAGCAAGGATGGCAAACAAGGGCGTGTTGAATTGACAGTCATTAGGATGCAAGTCTTGAAAATAGTAGCTGAAGGCATCTAAAGATTCGAATACATCATCTTTTTTTTTTTCCTGCATGCTCATAAACAATTACACAATTTATAACTGTAGGATTACACAGTGGTAATAGTGGCCAAGCAAAACTATAAACTCTATTATAAAATACACAATGCCGAAATATACAATGTGGAGACTCAGAGACAAGTACATGTTTGAGAACAGAAGATGAATGCTTTAAGCAACTATCCTGGTTACTCATCATCAGGGAGGAGGGAAGTCAAATAATTATGAAACTCAGGTAGGGCAGTAAGGAAAGAATATGCTTAGACAAGTGCTGGGAGTGGCCAGGGAGCAGGTATGAACTTCCTGTGTTTATAAAACTCTGCATTCAGCAACACACAAAGCTGGGGAAGATGTTTGATTGCCAGAAGTTAGGGGATTCCATGCCCAAGAGCCTGTGTGAATCAAGGACGAATGAAGAAGGGAAATTTCATTGGGGAAAGCATTCTGCAAAGGGTGCTAGGATGCCTAAAGGCCAAGATGAGGGAGGCTGGTAGAGTCGTAGTAGAATATGAGCAGATCAATGTCCCAAGACCCCATATGATGGAAACTTAATGCCTACAGAAAAGACAGACTGGAAAGATTGAAATACATACTGAATTGGGCATTACTGTCATATTTCTGATGGTGTAGTCTGGGAGTTAGAACTGGAAGAGTCTTTACAAACTGTCCTATCCAAAGATGACAAATAGATTTCAACTTGGGTGCCAACTGTGACTAACTGTATCAGCTGCTTTGAGCACCATGTTGGGAAGGATTCTGGAACTGTTCAGGTTCAAAGATGCCTTGAATGATTAGTAATGTCAGTTGTGGGTTAGGAAGCAGGGTGTGGCAACATATGCACCTCACATCTGTCTTCCCCAATGTGCACTCCCTTCATTTTGCAGATGGGAAAACTGATAATCTGAGATGTAGAGTGAAGTCCTGAATTCGGGTATCCTGACTTAGAATATAATGCTCTCTTTATCACATTGCCTCTATGCCTTGCTCAGTGTATTAGTGTCATTAGTGTTCATTTAAACTAAATAAGCATCAACTTTAGGTAGCTCTGGGAACAATCAAGTCAATTTCTCTAATGCTGCTGCACAATTTGGGAAATATCAAACTATGACAGTGCATGAAAATGGTAGAGTATGAAGTTTCTAGAAATGAAAGTGGTATTTGATGATGGCTAATATCCTTTCTAGCTCCAGATTATTCTAGTACACACACACACACACACACACACACACACACACACACACACACATAATATTAGACAAAAACAATCTTGCCCCCATAAAAGTG